GATGAAGGAATTTATACAATTGATTGGATCCCACGATCGCCTGACCTAAATCCAATAGAACACCTCTGGGACATTATGTTTCCATCCATCCGACGCACCTCAGACTGTCCAGGAGCTCAGTGATGCCCTGGTCCAGATCTGGGATGAGATACCCCAGGACGCCATCCGTGGTCTCATTAGGAGCATAGCCCAACGTTGTCAGGCATGCATACACGCACATGGAGGCCATACAAATTACTTAATACCATTTTGAGTTGCTGCAATGAAATTTCAGCAAAATGGACTAGCCTGCATCATAATTTTTTCCCTGTAATTTTTGGGGTGTCTTTGAATTCAGCCCTCTGTTGGTTAATAATTTTCATTTCCATCAAATGATGTGGGATCCTTTGGTTCCTAACACATCACCCAGTCCACCATATCAGTAGAAATAAACAGCATGATTTTTTTTGCAGAGAAAAGGGAAACATTAGGAGGAATCTGTGTCAGTATAACATGTGGATTGGACACATAGTGTACATCAGGCACAACAGCTTTAATTCAATTCAGTTTATTTCTAAAGCACTAATTCACAACACATGTCATCTCAAGGCACTTTACAGAGACAATTTAACCAGATCATCCAGTCAGATTGGTTCAGTTTTCCTTCTAAAACCAGCTGATTGCATCGACTCATCGACTCTTCAGCAATCCCTCACACCAAGCATACTTGTAGCGTCAGGGGAGAGGAAAAACTCTATTTTAACAGGAATAAACCTCCAATGATGGCAGCAGCACAGCTGATATTTCTCTCCAGGACGGAATCACAGCTAACAAAGAACAGACTAGGTGAAGCTAGTATAGGAAAAAGCAGAGAGAGCAGAACGTTAGAGATTAAAGTAACAAATACTACAGAAGGGTGAATACAGATAGAATGATTAAAAGGAGTTCCTGTGTCCTCCAGCAGTCTGTGTATAGCAGCACAAATGCAGAAAATAGGTCAGAATAACCTGAGTATTTTGGATTTGGAATAATCACAATAACCACAATGTGGCCAAAGTAGATAAAGGTTGATCTTTGGAAATTAATTCATAGCTTTTAAATAAATGTTTTCAAATAATATCTCAGATAATCTTTTACAGCTCTTATGTGTCTGTTTCTGAAAAAAGTACTATTATGGCTTATTGGTATATACCCTATGCTGTAGGACAGTGGGGAAGTCTAGGGAAGTGATCAGGAAAAGGGCTGTTCAAATGAGAAAGTATCCCATCAAAC